GAACATGTCATGTAGCATTAAGACTGTTTGTGCGGTAGGAGAGGAGAGTACCATTGCTTGTTCCATGGGCACCACCTGTTCCCTTTGAATCTGTCTGATACTGCTGGCGTGTCCTTTCAGAGCATTCTGCAGAGCACCACGTGGCTGTAAACAAACAAAAGCTCAGACACAAATACACAGTGGTTTCTGAAGTGCAGCAGATTAAAGACGATTAGGTACTGAATAAACAGTGATTTATTGTTGGTTTCCCTTACAAATACCTGCACATAAACTAATCCCTTTGTACCTTCAGATGGCACAGTTCCTATATAGTGCATGTGCCAGAAATGTGTGTGTGCTCAGCGTGAATGAGCAGCTTGTTCAGACCACTGGGTCCAATCAGTGAGCAGCAAGCAAAATCATTTTCCAGAGAGGCTGTCTGACTATATACAGTATTTGGACCTGTAGGGTTTAAAATACTCTGTGGTATTCCTGCACTCTTCAATGTATCCATCAATATAATAAGAATAATTGCCTCCCAAACCTAGAAATCAAACATTTGTCACATACAAAAACTCACAATGTCTCATCCGATATTAGTTAAGTTGCTGGATACAGCTTGGGCAACAGTGGGGGACATAGCTGTCTCTTGTCACTCAAATCAAATCACTGGACACTTACTGTAAGTTCAAAAACAATCCGGAGATCATCTCCCTTTGATTTTAACTCGACTGAACAAAAATAGCTGTTATGTGGTTGTTGTAACTTGTTGGTACAGTAATGATGGGACTCACTAGTTGGTCAGCCTGAGCCTCCAGGTCAGTAGAGAAGGACAGCAGATCCGCCTGAGTGACCCCCTTATTCACCTAAATCAAGACATTCATATATGGAGCAGAGTTCATTTAATTTTGCTCTAGTCGTGCAAGCTGTAGTTCTGCTGGGTGTTTTTAAACGTTTAGTGATAAAAGTTCTGCTGACACTTATTTTTATTTATTCCTTGACTGTGATACAGTACACACACACACACACACACACACACACACAGGGTACCTCAAACAGGTATGCCTCATAATCAATGTGTCCAATTCCAGAGTTGGCGAAGTTGATGAGGTTGTCCCTGCCAGCCTGCTCCAGCAGTGTAACGTCCTGCAGGTCCACTTGCACCTTCTCAAACACTTTGGCCAGATCCTGGTTGTACTGTGGTGAAATAAACTCACAAATTATCAGACTGCGATTCTGACAGATTTGGATCAGGAGTTCCTACAGTAAGATGTCACGTACCAGAGATCTGTTGAGGAAGTAGTTGATTTTGAACATGGTTTCCAACTGCAGAGCGTGATACAGACCGTTGTTCTCATAGCACTCCCTACAAGACAAACACAGCAAGATCACACTGGGAATCTCGATATGCTCGACAAGTGTAGGTTTAAAGCCTAAAAACATTTTTGCTTGTATTAGCTGCTGGCATATTACCTGTACATGCTTTCCCAAGTCAAGTCAGTGCTCCAATTCTGAAAGAGCATCCCAGGAAGGAAGTTCTTCTTGGTGGGATGAATCAGGAATGGGGTATCTAAAATCTACACACACGTGCACATTCATGAGCACACAGCAGCAGTATTGTGCACTACGTAATAGAGATAAGACTCTCTAAGATATGAGAAGCAGAGAGATGACGATGTGTATTTGGTACCTCAAATAGCTGTCGGTTAGCCAGGGGTTCACACATCAGCTTCTCCACGTTGCCACCAAGAACAAACAAGGTGGTCACAATAGCCATCAGCACCCAGGCAAAGATAAAAGAGAAGCCCACCCCACTGAAAGAGCAAGGCGCACATTTATTAGAGTGTAACATACAGTATCGGTAACAACACTACTGTAACGTAGGTGATGTTCATTTATGTATGAAATTAAATCTATAGCACAAGGTTACATTGTCTGTAGAGCAATGACTCAAGTGTTCATCATCTACTTTTTGTCATTTGTAATTAGCTGAACATCAGCTTCTGACAGTTCAAATAAAGTTTTTCCAAACAATTCTCGTGTTAAATAATCAATTTGATTGTTAACATTTACTCTTTATAATCTAAAGTCATATTTTTCCATCAGTTACTTTCTAGATTTGACCTAGTTCTACTCATTCCTTGTCACTAACTTATGTTAGCTCATTATCTATGTTAATGTATGTACATATGTATGCTACACTGACTTTGCAGGAAAAACATTGGTGTATCTAATACCATTGATTTTGGACTCAAGCCATTTTAAATGTTGTAAATCAAGCCTGTGTCTCAACAAAAACGTCTGGTATGACAAAGATCTACTATTCCCAGTTTGAGCACTGGACTCCTGTTTTGGTAACATACGCCATTAGCAGGTTGCCGCCAGTATTTGACAGGCATCCTCGGGTTGTAGGTGTAGCCTGCTTGTCGTAGCCACAGCTGCCACACGTCACTCCAAGGATGCTGAAGGCCAAGACCAAGACAACCATGCAGAGCACCACCACACAGCCGATCCACCTACAGGGCCCACACACTGTCTGTTGTAATTTGTGATAATGCTGTTTTGATTCACATTGTCTTTCCTGGAGGCAAACCCTAACCATAACCTTGTCATAACATTAACCTTAAACTTGCCATAGCTAATAACTAACACATTTCTTTGGCCACTTGAGGGCAGCAGAAACAAGTTGTGCACACACCACTGACATATCATCACCTTTTAAGCTGATATGGTAAACTTGTTTGAAGCCGTGGCCACCTGATGAATGCAAGTCCAATATCTATTCATTGCAAATACTCTTAGGTCTATTGGTCAAGGGCAGCTGCAGATTCAGGTGATGCTGTAATTCATCACTATGAGCCACCACTTTTACGTTGACTCATTGTTTTCACATTAGCTGCTTTAAGCCTAAACTTTATCTGACCAAAATTATTTCTCAACCTGATTAATATATGTACTAACCTGTAGAAATCGATTTGATCAATCTGTGGGTAAAAGGACTCAATGGTCTTTTGTTGTTGATTGAGATATATGATGAAATTGGCCATAGAGGTTTCCACTGGGAACATTTTGGAGAAGCTGCTGATCTCTGTGCCAATCTTATCCAACATGTCCTTTACTCCTACACAAACACACAAAAAAAGACCAACAAAAATCAGAAAGAAAAACTAATGCATTTCTTCTATATCACCTAGAAAGCCTGGGGATCCAACAGAAAGTGAAAAAGACTTACGAGGTAGAGCTGTGGTTTCACCATTCACAAGTACAAGAAAGAAAAAATATAATAAGGAAAAGACTATAGTCAGACTAAATTTGAGGCATTTTATAATGAGAAGGAAAAAACAGTTTGTAGGTAAATTAAATACACATACATGTACACTTACCTGAGATAATGTTTTTAGTTTGCTCTTTAACCAGTTTTGGTGTGTCATTAAAGGATGAATAACCCTGGAAGAGGAGAGAGAAAAAAGATTATTATAGAAAAATATAGCAAATGCTTGTACAGAGGTGTGCTCAGGGATGAAGATGGTGGTGAAACTGAGACCAAGGTCACACTGGGTATAAATAATAAACTAGACAGCGCAAACCTCCAACAAGGCAGTTCACTGTCCACATAATTACACCTAAAAGCAATATTCCCATGATAGTTAGACCCTCATAATATTATTTATTGACGTAAAAACCTACCCCTGGCATTTGCAATCACATTGATATCAGTACTAGAAAAAAATATTTCAGTAATGACAGTTTTCTTCAGGATGCAGCGCAGTAACTTTTGAATATACATCAAATCTGTTGACACCCTACTGAGCCAGCAGTTTCAGCATGAATTAGATCTTGGTTGTGGGTCTGTATTATTTTTTGTTGTCACACAGTAGTGAGTTTTCTGAGAGCCCTATAAAGCTGTTAGAAGCAGAAATACTGAAATTGGCCCTATGTCATCATGGTAAAAAATCATTTAAAAAATAATTGGTGCGGATGGTGGTCCTGATCACCACCAAAATCTAATGCATGTTTCTGTGGGTCATGCCCTAATTCTCCAAAGGGTTTCATCCAAACCCATTCATAACTTTATGAGTTAGGCTATGAACAAACCAAACAGCAAATACATGCTGTTAAAAACATTACTGTACCTCTGCCTTGGTGAAGACAATAAATAAAGCAAAGGGTGAAGGTAAAAGTTGAAAAGCAGGAGACAGAGACGAACCTTTTGTACAATGTTACTGAGATCTGTTCTCAGGACTATGTTTACATTGGCCAAGGCATGACTGACATCTGGGAGCTGAAAGACAGACAGTGTATAAATATGCATACTTTGCTGCAAGTGAAATGCTTGTTTTCATGTATTTTAGGCTTTAATTCCCAAACTAAAAGTTCCTTGGTACCTTGGAAAAGTCTGCGCTGACTCGAATTTGGGACAGCGTGGATTGGATGGTGTTGCATGTGTGTGGGATGGCTCCGTTGGTGCAGGCGGGGTCAGACAGGGTATTGGACAAAGAGGCGCGTTCCGCTGAGAGACTGGCCAGAAGTTTCCCTGTCCCCTCCTGAAGCACCTCCAAAGAGGAGCTGATGTTCTCCAGGGCCTCTTTGGTCTCCCGCATGGCTACAACCAAGACAGGAAGGATGAAGCTGAATCATAACTTAGCAATTTTTTTTTTACAAAAACTATTGTTTTGTTTTTTTATCCACAATAGTGTGTTGTTTTGTTTTATCAAATCACTAAGCCTCATGCATGATATACTCACACCACAGAACAATCAATATTATTACAACAACACTGATCACAAAGCAGCAATACACACAACAAAACACTGTTTCCAAGTTAAAACAGGGTTCAGGAACAGCATCCACTGCACTGCAATCCAGCAACACAAAGTCACCACTGAGTCACAGCTCTGATTACCTTTGATGGCACTCTCAACTTTTCCTTTACATAAAATGAAATGTGAGAGAAAAAGAAAGTAAAAATGTGAGGATATGTCCTGGAAAGACATCAGGATTCTACAGTAATAAACCCACAACAGAGGAAGCTGCATGCAAGGAAAATCGTTAGCAAGTGTAAGCAATAAGAGTAGCAGCAATTTAGCAACAGTTTATCGTAACATACAAAGTTTGTCTTTGAAATTCTGCACAGTTTTGTTTAACCTGTTCAGACAGTCCAAATGACATGTGTAAAAGGACTTATCATTGAATTTTGAACTAAATAAAATCAATCAGATGTGGTGACAGAAACTGGAGATAGAGTTGAAGCTTATGGACCTCCATATTGCATTCGGATACCATGACACAGCTGCTTAACAGGGAGTCCTACTGAAAGCCAATACAGAGTGTTACCTCCTGTCACTCGCAGGGCAGTGCCCAGTGAGAGAACCACCTCTTTCGCCAGCTGACTGTGGATCCTACCGCCCAGCAAAGGTCCAGTGTCTGTCAGGAAACAGAAATGGACAGAAGGTTTTAGGACAAAAGTACAAGTATACACTGCTTGGCAAACACAGGGAGCCACAAGCAAACAAAGTGAAAGACACTAGACCAATATTATATATAAACAGAGTGTGTGTGTTCATCTTACTGTTGAGATCTGACAGGACTTTGTTCTTTACTGTGGTGTACTGGGCTGTCAGGTATTCAATTTGCTGCAACAGGAAACACACAGTAACATTAAAGCAAGCATTCAAATACAAATGCCATTATATGATATGTTTTTAAAGGCATACCACAGATGTGTTGTTAGCAAGTGTCTTCAGGTCTCTCATGTTTGTATTAATTAACC